GCATAATCAATTAGGCTTAAACGTTATGTGATTTTTCCTAGAGTAAGACAAAGAGAAAATAAAATATAGTTTATGGTTACTTTTTCTCCTTTTTGTGTTTTAAAATTCTGGAGGGCATTTTAATGATCAAATAACCAACTTTTCTGAGTGACAGGGAGTAGATCTTTTGTTTATTTGTTGTTTATTAATTGATTAATTCATCTATCGCTTCAACAAATTTTTACTGAACAATACAAATTGTCATCACAGACACTGATTCAAAAAATTTTTTTAAACCAATTTCCCACCCTCATAAATTTATAATCAAACATAATTCTATTTCATCTAGTCTAAGGATATTTTTGTTAGATACCTCATTTGTTAATAAATATATACATCTCCCTATGGGTGAGCTCTTAGAGTCTTTTGATGACCATACCAATGACCCAAAAGGTAAGAGGACTTTTAAAATTCTTATTCTTGGTTAATAGCTGATCGTTATAATTTGGTACTAAGGCACTGTTCTAAGAATTTTAGAAATATTAAATCATTTCTAAAATGATTTAGTGGAGATTGGGGGGGGTCTCACAAAACAGTACAATTTTTGATTTGGTCTTCTCACTTTTTAATTGCCTTATTTTTCTCTTTTTTAAATAATGGTTTATATGCATCTATCAAAATTCTTTTAAAATTTCTACTCAGAATAAACTTCCAGTAATAATTGGAGAGCAAGTAACTTTGCTTAGGATGGTAAATCCATCAATGATAATAAATCATTTATTTTATTCTTTTACCAATTTTTCTGTCTTACATTTAAACATTGTCCTCTGAGATTATCTGCTGTCTGTAGCAAAAAATACAACAAATAACAAAACAAACAAACCAGTTTCACACAATTATATCAAACTAAAGGCCCTGATAGACTTTGACTTAGTTATGCTAGTTTTTCCAGTAATATTTATCATTCCATAATACGTTGACATTGCCAATTTTTATTGTTTTCTCATCTGTTCTCGCTGACAATTTGGTTTACATTTTTGTATATATTTCACAATGGAATCCATGTTAGTTGAGTTCTTGTGGAAACCAATACAAGTGCAAATTTATACTTGATATTTCTTACCACATGTCAAATTTATTTCTCGCCCAAGAGCAAAATTAATTAATCCCCAATTCTGTGCTTATGTCTAAAACTCATTTTCAATTTGACTGAATATTTGGGATGAATAAATGGTATCTCATTCTTTCATTAATCTCTTACTTTCTTATATATATGTATCAAGTATCCATAATGTGGAGAAGAAGACAGTTTTGCTCATTTAAGGATTTCAGAGTTTATTGGACAGAGAAGATGCATACAAATAATCATGATAAACATAGAACAAGAACTAAAATAGAAGTACGTGCAAGATCCCAAATTAGCACTAGACTGTTAATGTGGGTGTGCATTGTTGGTGGGGTATTGAGAGGAAGAATTGGCGATTATAAGGAAACACTATGTTGAAGAGAAGGTGTTCGATATCTATTTTGAAAGAAGTCAAGTTGTAAAGGAGACACATTTGTAAAAGGAATTCCAGAGAGAGGAATCAACAAGTAAAAGTATAAAAATCAAAGCAATCAACTCTAAAAAATTTGCTGGTGTGGAAGGGGCAAGTAATAAGCTAGACATTTGGCCAGGAGCTAGATCATAAAGAATCTTGTCATTATCAGGTAATGGGTACTTCACTGATGTTGAAGGAACCCAGAGAGATTATGAGTTAACTCTGTGGTGCTTGGGAAACAATAGGCAGTGAAGAAGTCAGATTCCTTTTCCTACCCCTCCCTTAAGGACATATTTTCTGTCCTCTCCAGAAGAGGGGTTGGAAAAAGGAAGGAAAAAACTTTGAGATATTGTAGTCTTTGCTCAACAGATAAGTAAAGTAAGAATTCTTAGAAGATTGCAACAACAGATAAGCATTTAGCTAGTAGGCGCCAAAGCACCAAAAATATATGTAAGTTTTCTACTTAGTAGAATGAAAATAATCTGTGACCAAGTTTCCCAAGTTAAAAAAATTGGTTTCCATTAAACACCTTCCCAATAACCCTGAATTACTAGGAATTCCAAAAGGCGTATCTGATTTTTCATAGAAACATTGTCAACTATTGTGGCGGAAATTCCACCAATTTGTAAGACAGAAACTAGATTATAGACCTGGTTTTTGTTAATTCACTTACTCTCTTTGAGGCTTTTTTGATCAGAAAATCATACTGAAGAGAAAATTGAAGGAGATAGCATGTTAAAACATACTACCATATTTTATGTGCTCAATACCCAGACTGACAGCGATTTTGGTGTGCTTACAAAAATTAATGCCGTAGAAAGCCATTGAGTGCCACTAAGTGAATTTTCTCCTGTGTTGCATTAGAGGAGATATTCATTCTACCTTCCATTAATAAATTTGGTGATTTTAAGGTCATTGTCTGTAGGAAGTATTGTCACATGAAAATTCTGCTTCATAAAGTGACACCAGGTGAGGACAGATTAGATTTGTCAAAACGTTTGTTTTGAAAGAAGTAGGGAAACACAGATTGCACATGCTAACAAGCATCTTTTCAAGGCTCTGTCCTTATGTCATTACAAAATCTTAGAGTTATATTCGTTGTCATAGGAGCACCTGTGTCTCTAATCTAGTCTCAGGAGAAACATCTAAGAGGAAAAGACAGGGCTTCTAGACCTGAAGCATGATTAGGATTCTGACAGATCAAGAAGGGAGGGACAGTGTTCTCTCCTGCTGCTATTTGCTGTTTCCTACTCACAGCACACCGATATTCCTGACTCTGTGAAAAATGGTCCTCTGTGCTTTTGGTGCTTTCCCTCCAGCCCCACTCAAACGTAGCTAATTCGTACTTACTCTGCAAGGAAAACCTTCCTCAGAAAGATTCAAAGTTCGAATGTGGTGGTGGAGACATATCATCTAAACCATCTTAAAATAATGTAGTTACAAACTGCTATGATTAGATGTAAAGAATTTATTTATTCAAATAAAAATTCTTTTAAATTATATTTACCCTATGATACTACAAAAATCAATTCATATATGGGACTCCTCCACAATTCAATAAAATTATTGACATTAAGGACAGTTTGTATTTATATTAACTCCCACCAATCCAGTATGTAGCAAACCACCTTGAACATATCAGGTACTAAGATTTTATTAAATAAATGAATAGATGGATGAAATAAATAAATAAATAAATAAATAAATAAATAAATAAATAAATAAAATTTTTATTTGACTTTGAGAATTACTAAATTATAATCTAAATATTATTATTTGGATTGCATAAAATAAACTAATAGAAAAAATGCAAAACATCTTCCTCTAGATTACTACAAAGATAAATAAATAAAACATTCCCTTTATAAAGTAGGGAAACAAAGAAAATACAAAGAAAGTGGAAAGAATAAGATGATAAAAGCAGAACAAGTACTGGTTTAAGCAATAAAGATAACTTATTTAAACTATCCATCAATTTTAATATAATTCTAATTAATTTTAAATAAGATCCCTATTCTTTTCTCCTTCTGTCTACTTTAAATTATTTAACAGTCTCTCTTAACTGTGATGTTCAGTACCTGCTTTGATCTATATATTGTAAATAGCAGTGCACAAAGCAACATTGCAGCTTCTCTTGGAGTTAAAGTTTCTCTCGACAAGAATAAACAATGTAAGTTCAGCACCTTAATGATTTCTTCCCAGAATGAACAACTATCTGGGATGGAGAAAAAGATTTTGCTTTTTCATCCCAGTATATTTCCTTTATTCTATTGCTTTTAGAAACAAATTTAAAATAATTTTGATACACAAAAGTTAATTTCTTCTGCAAGGAAATGAGACACATACTATGCTGTGGTGTGGACAGGGTTACTAAAATAATAATATAAACACATAACTATCACCACTTATAAAATACAGCTTTGATA